GCATGGGCGAGGAATGCCCTGGGAGTGGAGCATGTGTCACACTAAGGGCCTTGTTTCTGACTCCCTCCTCCCCTTCCCCCCACCCCATGTTGTCCTCCTCGTAGCTGGCAAATCCTGAGCCTGGAGCTGGAGACAAGAGTAGACCAGATGTATGGTCTCGAATATAGGATCTCCCCTGGGAAGTGGTTCTAGCTGATGGCAGAGAGAGAGAGAGAGAGAGAGAGAGAGAGAGAGAGAGAGAGAGAGAGAAAGAGAACACAAACCAGAGGGGAGCAGGAGTGACTCCATATGCCTGGGGACAAAATTGTGGGAAGGCTCGCCGACTTCCTATCCCTACCCAGTCTGATGCCATAGCATTGAGCAGAAAATATCACCAGCAGAGCTTTAGACAAGTGCCTGTAGAAAAGTAGATGTCATTGAGTGTTGTTGAGGTGTGGACAACTGTCATACACTGTGGATGGGAGTGTAAATTGGTAGAGCCACTCTGTGGGCAGTTTGCCAAGATCTATTAAAACTAAAACCAAGGCTGTACACTCTGACCCAGCAATCCTTCTTCTCTGCCCTAGTGAGAGATGCTTGTGTATATGCCCAGGGAGGCAGCGCAAAGATGTTATTCAGTGTTGCATTGTTGGTTATAGGCAGAGACTACAAATGACCTACATATCCAGCGATAGGAGAGTGGCTCAATAAACTGTAGCATGTCCATAGCATAGCACTAAAAAGAATGAAGTATGTGTATCCATATATTCTTATGTTGGTAGAGCTTCAAGACATATTGTGGAGTGAGAAAAGAAAGTTGTGGAATTGTATCTATATTCTGATACTTTTATTATATTTTTAAAAATCAAAAGTATGTGTGTTAGGGTCTAAGCTATGCTGCTTTAACAAAGAGATCCCCAAATTTAGAAGAAGAAGAAAAAAAGGCTTAAATGAGGTAGCTTCTTTCTCACCTAACAGTCCAAAGGGAGTGTGGTCCAGGGTAAGTGGTGTTCAGTTTTGTGTTGCTATATGAAACAGCAGTGATTACATTTTGCTTATGGAGTCTGTGGCTCAGGAGTTTAGACAGGGCCATGGAGTGGCTTGACTGTGCTCTATGATGTCAGAGGCTTTAGCTGGGAAGACTTGAATGGCTGGGAGTAACTTACATGGCTGTGGCTAGAATCATCCGGAGGTTTCTTTACCCGTGCATCTAAATGCCTGAGCTGGAATGACAAGAACCTTTGTCTTAGTTGGGACTATTGCTCAGAGTGCCTACATGTGACTTCTCTATGTGGTTAGGATTTCCATACAACATGGTGGCCTCAGAGTAGTTGAACTGTTTGCTCTAAAAGCAGATGTTCCAGCAAAAAAGGCAGAAGCCACAGGGCTTTCCATATGTATTCTCAGAAACTGTCATGTTGCCCCTGCCATATTCTATCGGTCAAACCAGCCACAAGCCTGTTTGTATTTAAGAGGAGGGAACAGAGATCCCACCTCTTTATGTGAGGAGTGCCAAGGGGTGGGCATTCTGTTTTAAAACCATCACAGGTGAGAAGCTCTGTCACATGAGGTCACCCAAGGTTGGTTTGGCTGGGGAAGGGACATTGGGCTTTGCCATTGACATGTGGCTTCCATTTCTGGTTTCAAGGTAACTGCACCTGTTGTCATATCCCAGCCAGGGAAAGGGACAGTGGAGGGCAAGCATCTCCTTATAAAAAGGTGGTTCAGAACTTGTATACGTCACTTCTACCTGCATCCCTTTGGCTAACTCTTAGTCCTGCTGCTACACACAGCCACAAGGGAGGCTGGGAAATGTCTGTTACTGAGCAGCTACGTGCCCAGCTACAACTCAGTGTGGTCCTGTTACTAAAGGAAGTAAAGGAGAATGAGTATTAGGAACAATTAATTTTTGCAACAGCGTGTATTTTTCATAAATATGTATATATATTTGTGTGCATATGTATATAAATAGGCCTATGTAGAATGCAGAAATACATAGATAAATAGACTGCAGTCTGAAAGAATACATAGAAAAAGGTCTAGAAGAAACTAGTAACAGTAGTTACCTCTGGAGAAGGGGGAGAAGACAGGATGGGGGATATTCATAGCTGGCTGTAGCTGTAGTGTTTTAATTTTTAACGAGGATAATGTCTTCATGTTTTACTTTGAAATTAAATATTAATTTAAGCCCAGAAGGGCCTGGTGAGCATCTGGCTGCTGATGTTGCAGTCTTGGTCTTATCTTTCCGTAGTGGGACCCAGCACCAAAGAGAGCCAGGAGGTAGCATGGCCCTTAATCTCCCAGGAGACTCAGCTGGTGTTTCAGGGGACTTTTGGTTCAGAGGCCCCACATTCTCAAAGTCTGTGTACTCTATTTGGGGTATTTCTGCCCCCATCCTTCCTGTCCAGTTCTAGAGGGTTTCCTTTGTTACTAGCAGATTAGTTGAACGTAGAGGGCTGTTTGGGCACTGAGGAATTCAAAAGTGAATAAATTACAGCCTCCTTCTGTACAGATTACTTGTTCATTACAGATAGGAAGCTGGTCACTGTAAGTGGAGAAAGAAGTGGACAGAGACTTTCCCAGGCAATCAAAGTTAACATCACAGACACTGTGTCCCTTCTGATAGGAGACACTGAGGACACAGAGTCACTCTAATGGCATTTCTGTCCCAAATGCATAACCAAAATCCATTCATGAGGAAATACCTGACAAACTCAGATGGGGGGACATTCTTCAAAACAACTGGACTGAACCCTTTTAAAATGTTCATGTCATGAAAGACAAAGGAAAGTTGAGGAGCTGTTGTAGACTGAAGGAGTCTAACGAGATACAATGATTTGATCATTGTACTGTGAATGTGTAAGAGAATGTCGTGTTCTTAGGAAATATGCACTGAAGTATTTAAGAGTAAAGAAGCATGTTGTCTACAGTCAACTCCCAAACGGTTTAGAAAGGAGTAGGCAAACTTTTTTGGCAGAAAGGCTAGGTAATGAGGATTCTAGGCTGTGGCGGGCCATATGGTCTGTGTCACAACAACTCGCTCTGCTGATGTAACGCCAGAGTAGCCACGACAATATGTAAATGAACGGGTGTGGCTGTGCTCCAATAAAGTTTATTTATGGATAGTGAAATTTCAATTTCATATACTTTTCACGTGTCATGAAGCATTCTTCTTTTGAGTTTTTTCAGCCAGGCAAAAATCATTCTAGCTTACTGCCCATACAAAATCTGGTGGCTGGATTCGGCCTGTGGGTTGTAGTTCACTGATGCCTGAAATAGAAGAACGCACACACACACAATAAAGCAAATACGTATGGCATAATGCTAACCGTAAATCTGGGTGAAGGGTACAGGGGAGTTCTTTTTATTCTTCTTACAGTTCTTTAGCAAGTTGGGAATTATTTTAAAGTAAAAAGTTAGGGGCACCTGGGTGACTCAGTCGTTGAGTGCCCGACTCTTGGTTTCAGCTCAGGTCATGATCTCATAGTTTGCGGATTCGGGCCCCATGTCAGGTTCTGTACTGTCAGTGTGGAGCCTGCTTGGAATCCTCTCTCTCCCTCTTTCTTTGCCCTTCTCCTGCTCGAGTGCTCTCTCTCTCTCTCAAAAAAATAAATTAAAAACAAGAAAATGTTTAAAATAAAATAAAAAGTTAAATAAACAGCATGATTTTCCTCCCTGGGGGGCCCAGGAAGGAGAGGTTGAGGATACTGTGTAAATTCGGGGGAACAAACCCTCTCATCTCAGGGCCAAGGGAGACTTGCTCATAGTGTTCTTTGATGCTGTTCCTCACTGTTATTTGTTCACTTCACTGCCTTCACTTCTTCCTTATTTTCTGGCTTAACTGTCATGTCTAGAGACCCCACTTGGCAGATGTGAGAGTTTGGGCTCTGGCCTCATCCTTTAACTGTCCCTTTTTCTCTCCCTCTGCTAAATACATTTCACCACCACCCAAGAAAACAGATGCTTTAAATATGTTCATTGGGTTATTGTTTTTTTAGTGTCATGGTCCCTGTCCCTAATAGTTTCCTCCAAATTGTTGGTGTTTGTCTTAGATTATCAGAACTCTAGAGGGAAAGGGTTGTTTCTCTGATATGTTGGGGTGTAATGTTGGGGGAGGTGCCCTGTGGCAGTGTGATGGAGAAGTTACTGTGTTCATTCTCCCTGCACTGGGAAGTCTCTTGTATTTCCCCTGGCCTTATGGCCCTGAATGTTTATTTCCAGATACTGGCTTTATTGGAGTGACTGTGCCTGGGGTAGGGAGGGCTAGCTTTACGGGAAGAGGTATGTCCTTTTAGTTGACTTAGCAAGAACTCTCTTCATTGCTAGGATCAGAAACCCAACTCAGATTGGCCTAGGTGAAAAGGAATTTATTAATTCATATAATGAAGAGCATTACATTCAGACCTGGTTAAATCTAAGGGCTGAAATGATGCTGTGAGAATGCTGTCTTGTACCCTGTTGCAATTATATTTGTGTTTGGCTTCATTTGCTCTGCAGCCCCAGGTGTACTTTCTACCAGATTAGCAAACCCAGAAGGAGGGCATTTCTAAACCAATACTTCAGCCAAAGTCCCCAGACTAACCTCATTGGCCCAAATAAGCCACGTGTCTGCCTCTGAGCCAGTCAGTGGCCAGGGGATTGGAGGATACTGATTGGCCAGACCTAGGTCACATGACTGCTCCCAGCATGGAGACTCTTAGCTCTAGTCAAACTAACTCGACCAAGAATTGACAAGAGGTGGCCTCTCAAAGGCATTACTTGGTTGCCTTTACCATTAGGAAGGATAGAACCTATCTAGGGAAAAACAAAACAAAACAAAACATTGGTTCCTTACACAAGTGCTGTGCCATGCTGCCTTTCCTAATTCCAGCCCCAGTTTTGTAAGCCACATCTCTGATAGTGGTAGTTGTATCATCTCAGCTGCCAAACTGACTTCCGTAGTCATGTCCTATGATACAAACTATGAAAAACGTCCCATTCATGTTCTCCCATACACCCTGCTTGGGGTCTCTATCCCTCAGGAAACCCACAGGATCTACAGGCAGAAGCTGGAGGAGCTGACTTCACTCCAGACTTTATGTAGTGGCTCTATCAACAAGCAGAAGACGCGACTAAAGGACTTGAAGCACACACTCCAGAGGTAGGTGAGGCTGCAGCGCCCCTGGTTTTAAGGGCTAGAAACCCAACTCAGCTGTCTTGAGCAGAGAATGGAAATTTTAGTGGAAAAATCCCAGGAGTAATTTCAGACATCACTGGATCCATGGGTCAAAAGATGTTTTTAGGATTTTTTCCCCCCTCTGAATTCTGCCTTCCTCTAGATTGGCTTCACTCTCAGGCCGACTGTCCCATTATGGTCACCAAGGTGGCCACCAACAGTGCCAGACTTGTGTCTTCCAGCCATACTTCCTATTGGTTTGGTTACCCCAGCAGAATAACTTGTTTTTCCAGCAAGAGTTCTGGATGTGATCCTCATTAGCTGGAATTGGTCACGTGCCCATTTGTGAACTAATCACTGAGACTAGGTCATAGGCTTAGTTTATGGACCTGGGGAATGGGACAGCCTTACTTGAACTATATGGAAGGGGAAAGAGGATGAGAGAGAGTTCCCTAGAGGAAAGTTGTTATAGGTCTCTGGTGTAGGTGGTGGGAAATCTGGTATCCCCGGGGGGACATACTTAAGCTCATGATTTAGTTCAGTTCTTGAGGCCAGGATCATATGTCCACTTTCCGATTGATCCTCACGTCCTCATGGTTTGGAAATTGCTCTCATCCCTCATAGGTGAAGGAGCCCAGTGAATGCTGTGATCCCCAGGCAGGCAGGGAGACTGAGACTCTGAGTGGCTTATCCCAGTATACTTAGCTGGGACTCCATATCATAGTGTGTAACTCCTGGTCCATTTTTCCCTTCCCTTGTGGACAGTTTTTGCAAAGGTTGCTGGTTATATCTCTAGCCTTGGCTGACCATTTTGGAAATGGAGGCCCATTAGTCATGGAGTAGAGTATGGATGGTTCCATGTAATGATATCACCACTCTTGGAAAAACACATCTTACTAATGGTAAGATTCAATAGTCTTCATCAGGCTAGGATTTTTCAACCTTGGCACTGTTGACCGTTCTGCTGCAGGGTCTGTCCTGTGCATTATGGGATGTTTAGCAGCATCCCTGGCCTCTATCCCTGTTTGACAAACAAAATATTCCTAGACATTGCCAAGTGTTTCCATTGGGTTAGAGAACCCATGGGACCCATGAGAGCCATTGGGTTAGAAGGTTGACCCATGAGGGTGCCTACTATTCTGAGAGTGTGTCCACTGACTTGTTTTTCTAGTTTTATGAGTTAAATATCACCAAAGAATAACAGACAATGATCATTTAGCTGCTTTTACATTTAAAGCACTTTCCTGTCTGCCCTTCTCATAATCAGGCTATTCTTCTAGAATAGTAAGAAGTATGGTATTGCCTGTAGAGGTCCATCGAGCTCATGCTTGAGTATCAAGGGCCATTCTAAATGTGTTGCTTTGCTTGTGCTCACTTAATCCTCACAACAGTATTGTCCATGAGGTAGGCCTGATGCTACTCCTGATTTTCAGGTATGGAAAATAAGGCAGGGAGGTTAAAGAACTTTCCCAGGGTCACGAGACTAGCAGGGACCCAGTGTCAAACCCACAGGGTGCAGAGGGAGAATTGAGGTTACAAGAAGCATTGAGATAGAAAGATGGGAGGGCAGTGCCCAGAGCTCCCGGATTCTTCCTCCAGTCTGAGTAACACGGCTGCTTCTCCTATGCCCACACTTCTGACCAAACAGGTACAAGCACCATGCGAGTCAGGAGGAGGCAGAGCTCATCCAGCAGATGAGCGCCAACATCAAGGAGCGGCAGAATGTCTTCTTCGACATGGAGGCCTACCTGCCCAAGAAGAATGGGTAGGAACTGGAAACATATCCCACCCCTGCAGGGCAACAAAGAAAAGGAAGCTTCCTTATGTGTTCCTCCATGGAACGGGCGGGGATCTCAGAGTGAACTTCCTGGGAGGGCTTTGGCAAGGAACTAGATGTAAGATCTCGTTTCTAGCACTGGCCGCATGCCTGGGGCCACTCAAGGTCCAGAGGAAAGTTTTCTCCCAAAAAACAAACATTTATTTATTTATTTTTATTTTAAATTTCAGTATAGTTAACAGACAGCATTGTATTAGTTTCAGGTATACAGTATAGTGATTTAATTCCATACATCACCCAGTGCTCATCACCACAAGTGCGCCTTTAATCCCCTTACCTATTCCCCACCCCCCCTCTGGTAACCATTAGTTTTTTTTCTCTGTAGTTAAGAGTCTGTTTCTTGGTTTCTCTCTCTCTCTCTCTCTCTCTCTCTCTCTCTCTCTCTCTCTCTCTTTTTTCCTTTGAGAACAAACATTTATTGAGTGCCTGCTGTATGCCTGGCATTGTGCTGGGGGCTCTTGAATTGTCTACAGCTTGGTGAGTCGGACCCAGATATCTGAATTCTACAAGGTTCAGAGACATAGCGGCTGTTTTGCTCAGGTGGCGCAGCCCAGGTTTGGATGTGAATACCCTGACTCCAGAGCTTGTGTTCTTTCTGTCTTCCTTCTTCAGAGAAGTCCCATCTCCTCCCTCAAGTGACATCACTCCCACCTGTTCCAGAGCGAGCGAGATCGAACAGCGTTGTATCAAAACCTGATGCGGGCTCCCAAGTGTGCTCCCATCACTTCCCTCTGCCCTTTTTCCTGGTTTGGCCTAACACAAAGTCAGAGCCCCTGTGAGGAGACTACTAGCCCTTTCACATTTGAAGTCATTCTTCTTGGCTTTTTTTTTTTTCTTTTTTTGGTGCCAAATTTGGTGAAAATCTCCCTAAGTTGGATGGTGATAATTTTCCATAGAATGAAACAGCATGACCCTCTTTTACAATGTGGCTCAGATCGTCTTTCCAAGCTCCAGTCTCCTCAGTCCTCCGTGCATTTTATACCAGTTGGCAATCTTTGGATTACAAATGTCCTAAAACCCAACTCAAAGTGCTTAAGAAAAAATAGGGGATTTATTGGCTCATGTAACTAAAAGGTCCAGATGTTGCCGTGGGTCTGGCCAGATCCTGCTGCTCAAATGATACTGTTAGGCTCTCTCTCTCTCTCAGTGAGCTTTCATTTTACTCTCTCTGCCAGTGTGTTTAGCTGGCCGGGGTTGCTCTGGGTTTGCATTCTGCCTGCTTAGCAATCCCAGTAAAGAAAGCATCTTTGTTTCTTAGTAGTTCTGGGAAAAATCCCAGGACCGAGTCTTATTGGCCTGTGACCAGTGCGTCCCATGACCATTATTGACCCAATCAGGGATGCACTGCTTTGATCGGCTAAGCCTGGCTCATGTGCCTTACCTTAGGGTCTGGGAGGAAGTAGGGACTATACTGCTAGGCAAAAAACAAAAGATGTTCTTTTCACATCTCTGCTTCAGTTACACCAGACTGGAAATGCCCCCTAGCACTTACTCATAGCTAGAAAGAAGACTCCTCTTTTCTCTTTTCTCCTCTCAGCCTTCTACTCATCCTTCAAAGCCCAGTTCAGATGTTAATCACCTCAGTGAAGCCTTTCTAAAACCCCCTCTCCCTCTGCGGAATTAACCCTTAGGAGATTTCATACATAACCTTTTATTTACACTTTTATTGGTGCATTAGAGTGCAGGCTATTTTGTAACAAAAGCCCAATGATACAAGAGCTCAAACAAGCTGGAGGTTTCTGTCTCAAACATAACAGTCCAGAGGTGAGTGGGCCAAGAGTGGTGGGCTCGTGGGGTCATCTAGGGACTCAGGGTCTTTCCAGCACCAACTCACTGCTTCACCACCCTTCAGAGAGTTGTCCTCATCTGCATGAGCAGAGCTGGCTCGCACCATCACATCCTCAGGAAGTGGGGAAGAGTCAGGGAGTAGAGGGCAAACAGATAACTTTATACAAAAAACAAAACAAAACAAACAATATTTGCCATTTCCCAGTGGAGCCAAAAACATAGATATTCAGTAACCCAGAAATTCCGCTCCTGTCTGCATAGCCAATGGAAGTGAGCACTTCTGTCCTCCAAAAGACACGTATAAGAGTGTTGACAACAAAGACGCCAGACACAAAGGCTACATATTACACAAGTCTTTTTAGAAATCTTTTTTTTTTTTTTAGTGTTTATTTTTGAGAGAGAGAGAGAGACAGACAGACAGACAGACAGACAGAATCTGAAGCAGGCTCCAGGCTCTGAGCTGTGAGCACAGAGCCCGACGTGGGGCTCGGACTCATGAACGGTGAGATCATGACCTGAGCTGAAGTTGAACGCTTAACCAACGGAGCCACCCAGGCGCCCCCACACGAGTCTTTTTATATGAAATGTCCAGAACAGGCAAATCATAGATGTAAAGTAGGTTAGTGGTTGCCACATGCTGGCAGAGGAGGGAGGAAAGGGAGTGACTGCTGGCAGGGGAGGGAGGAAAGGGAGTCCGGGCTTTCTTTGGGGATGATGAACATGTTCTAGAATTAGGTAATAGTGATGGTCATACAATGTTGGGAATATACTGTAAATCATTAAATTGTGTACTTTAAAAGGAGGATGTTATTGGGGTGCCTGACTGGCTCAGTCAGAGGAGCATATGACTCTTGATCCTGGGGTTGTGAGTTCGAGCCCCACGTGAAGTGTAAAGATTACTTTAAAAAAAAAAACTGTAAAAGGGTGATGTAATGGGGGTGCCTGCCTGGCTAAGTCAGAAGACCTTGTGACTTATGATCTCAGGGTTGTGAGTTTGAGCCCCACGTGGAGGGGGTAGAGATCACTTAAATACATAAAACCTTAACAAAAAAAGGGTGATGTTATGGTATGTGAATTACATCTCAATTAAAAAAAAAAAAAAAAAAAAGAATGTTCAGAGCAGCTGTATTTCTATTAGCCAAAAACTGAAAACAACCTGAGTGTTCATCAGTAGCAGAATGAATAAATAAGTTGTGGTATCTCCAGTCACTGGAATACTATGTATAAACAACATGGATGAATCTCACAGACATAATATGGAGGGAAAGAAGCCAGGCATAAATATACTGAAGGTTATACCTCAGTTTTAAAAAGAGCCCTTTTTAAATTGACCTAGAGATTGTATACATGCCTTCTCCATATTGGCTGGAATTTAGTCATATGCTCACATTGGCTGCAAGGGAGCCTGGGAAATGTGGTCTGTCAGCCAGCTAAAATGGGGGGACAATGAGTTTGTCATGACTGTTGTGTGTCACAGTTTTCACATTCTTTAGGTGATCATCATTACCATTCCATGTGAGAATTTTACCAATGAGCTTAGCACCCTGTTTTCTACCACCAGTGCTCCATGTGTGCTTACTGAGTTTGAATGGTTTTGGTTGGGGCCCCCTCCCAGGGCTGTTAAGGAACACGGTGGCCCTCACAGGTATTTTCCTTCCAGGCTCTACTTAAACCTGGTCCTTGGCAATGTGAATGTGACCCTTCTCAGCAACCAGGCCAAGTAAGTATCTCAGATTCCCAACTGGCATTAGGGAAGCCAGGCATTTTGTTCTTTCAACTCAGGAGAAATGAACGAAGCTAGAATTTTTGCGTAAATAAAGAAATATTAATAGTTGGGGCTCTGGCTCTTGGTCTTTCTGACACTCTCTTCCTCGTTGGGGGACCATCCTGGGAAGGTTCTTTCCCTCTTTTCACGCAGTCAGTACACTGGGTGAACAGAAGTGCCACTTCCCCATGAGAAATGGCCCCTGCCCCATTCCACTCCTTATCACACACAGTTCTCCTGGGAAGCAGGCAGTACTGTCGCCTGAAATCAGTCAGTCCCAGGGGCAGTGCAGCCATGGTGTTTCTCTTGCGGTAGCTGGTTGGGAAGGAACCTGTGTCCACCCCCTGCCCATCCCTATCACAGGCCCAGAGACCTACCTGAGAGTCTAGCGACATGGGAGCTTTGCGCATTGGCCCCCTTTCTGTAATTGATCATCACTATTAATTCAAGACCAGAGCTTTCCTTTGGTGGGATCAGAAGGTCCTTGTGGGCTGTGGGTAGTGGTAGATGAAGGATCTGATGGGGCTGAGCATTCTGCCCCCAGATGGGATATAGTTATATTACTATAACTATAGTAATAGTTGTGTGACCTTTTCTGGGGGTGTCTATCAATGCAGATTTGCTTACAAGGATGAGTACGAGAAGTTCAAGCTCTACCTGACCATCATCCTGCTCCTAGGTGCTGTGGCGTGTCGATTTGTCCTTCACTACAGGTAACGGGAAGGTGGTGGTGTGTGTAGGCATGGAGTTGGTGGGGCGTCTCTCCTGCATCTGCAACGTTTGGTAGATTGTAGGTAGAGAAGAGCTGTTTCTCATGGGAAATGGCAGCCATGTCCACCCTACATCCATTCAACAAATATCTACTGAACAGCTACTGGAAGAGGCCTTATAACTAGTAGATAGGAAAGAGCCCAGTGGCACACTGACATTGTGGAATGTTATTTGGCCATAAATAGGAATGAAGTACTGACACGTGCTTCGACATGGATGACCCTTGAAAACGTTATGCTCAGTGAAGTTAGAAAAGGCCACATATTGTATGATTCCATTTATATGAAATGTCTAGAACAGGCACATCTAGAGAGGCAGAAAGCAGATCAGTGGTCAGGAGCAGGGCGGAGGGGAAATGGGGGAGGGTACTGTTGATGGGTATAGGGTTTCTTTTGGAGTGATGAGAAGGTTCCAGAATTAGATGGAAGTCATGAATGTGCAACCCTCTGAATATACTAAAACCTAATGAACTGTATGCTTCGGAAGGGTGAATTTTATGGTATGTGAATTATATATCAATTATGAACAGAAAGAGAAAACAGGAAAGAAGGGAAGAAAGGAAAGAAAAAGGAAAATATCACAGACTGCCTGGGTTTGAATCCTGGCTTTGGGACTAACTGGCTGTTACCGTGAGCACATTCCCTCTGGGAGCCTCAGTCTCCCCATCTGTAAAATGGGGGGGGGGGAACACCAGGTTGTGCGAGCTGCGTGTGGAGGGCTCTGCCCACTGCCTGGCACCAGCGATGCCGGTGAGAGTGTCAGCCGCTGCTTTTGGAGCAGGCGAAAGCCATGCTGCTCTGAGAGGCTGCGGCCTGGCGGCTCAGACTGCACTGCCTCATGGGGTTTCATTCCCCTCTCCCCTGCCCTGGCTTTTCTGCCCCGAGGGGAGGTAGCCAAGCACAACTTGGGCATTTGGCCCCGTGTCAGGGGTTTATTTCCTGGCAAGCGCTTGGCTGGGAGTCCGGTTGCTGGTCTGGCCACTTGAATGTCCAAACAAAGGCCCTTTGAGGTCCTGGGCCCGTGCCTGCCTGCTGCCTCGGGGCTGGACAGGTTCCCCGGAGGGTAGAGGCTGCACACATCAGTACTGCCTGCTCACATGCCATTCTGGAAAGGATACAAGTACTCGATGTGCAACCAGATTCCCTTGCACTGGGACATCTAGGGCCCTCAAAAGGGCACACCAGTCGTATGTTGTCAAGTTCTAAAATTCAGTCTTCTCCCCATCCCTTTCTGTGTGCATTTCCTGGGGCTGTAGTAACAGTGCCTCGAGCAGGATAGCTTAGAACAACAGAAATCTATTTTCTCACAGTTCTAGAGGCCGGAAGTCTGAAATCAAGGTGTGGGCAGAACCATGCTCACTCTGAAGGCTCTAGGGGAGAATCCTGCCTTGACTCTTCCAGTTTCTGGTGGTGCCTGCTTCCTTGGCGTTCCTGACTTAAAGAAAGCTGTTCCCTTCCATTCTCAGCTTCATGTGCCTCAACCTTGTCCTGTAGCCTCCTTCCCTGTATGTCCCTGTGTTTCTTTTATGGCCTTCTTATGAGGACGCCCGTCTCTGCAGTCAGGGTCCACCCTAACCCAATATGACCGACCTTATCTTAATTAATTACATTTGCAAAGACCCCTATTTCCAAATAAGGTCATATTCTGAGGTCCTGGGTGGATGTGAATTTTGAGGGAACTCTATTCAACCTAGTATACCTTCTTTGGGTTATAAATAGGACCAGGGAGGGGGGCTGGGCAGGCAGCTTATCTCTCTTCTTTTGCCCTCAGGGAAGCTTGCCCTGCTGTTTAACCTTGGGCAAATGACCTAACCTCTCGCCACACAGAAAATGAAGATAGTGAGAGCTACATGGTAGAATGGTTGAGAGGACTGGATAGGTTATATCTGCAGTGTTTAGTGCCTGGCACATAAGTGCTGCCTAAGTGTGAACAGTTGTGATTGCTGCCATCTTTTGTGCTGGAGGAGATCACAGCTTAATATCCAGTGCCCAAAGAGCAGGATTTTCTTTCCTTACTCTTGCCCCCTTGAGGTGGTTTCCTTGCTGGGTGCCCCACCCAAAGTCCCTTCTGTGGTACCTCTAAGTCTGGAGCTGGGCATGGCTAACGTCCCTCAGAACCATGGGTTCTAGGTCCAGCTCTGCCACTCACAGATCGTGTGACCTTGAGTAGAGCCCTTGATCTCTCTGTGTGTGCTTCCTCGTCTTCCCCATGACCAGAGGACATCTGCCCATGTTGCCGGGCCTTTGGGAGGCTTTGGTGAGGCTGCTGGAGAGTGTGATGTCTCCTTCTTCCGCCTTCAGGCCAAGAGGCTGTGTCTAGTTAGAATTGTCCTCTATCAAGATTGGGTTTTGAAGCTGGCAGGAAAGAGGTGGTTGGGATTAAGCTTGGGTTGGTTGGGCTAGGGTTTGGATTTCACTCCTGGGCAGTTCATTTCCTCTCTCTCAATCTCAGTTTCCTCATCTATAAAATGGGAAGTTGTACCATCTTAGTTTGTGTTCCCCCAGAAGTAACCCAAGCACTCAAGCATTTGAGTGCCAGCAGTTTATTTGGGAGGTGATCCCAGGGAACATTGGTAGGGGAATGGGAAGTGAGACAGGAGGGGCTACCTGTGGGCATCTGGACTCCAGTGCTGCTGGAGAACTGGGGACAGCATGGAACATGCCTCAGTTATCCCACTTGAGGGGCAAAGGAGCAAGGGTATTTTTCTTCCTGCTGCTGTTGGTCAGGGGAGTTGAGGACTGCTTCCAGAGGGTGATAATTCCCCTTCCCTCCTGATCTGCCTCTCGAATCAGCAGAGTGAGCTCTGAGCCCAGGCATGCCAGGAGTTGCAGGTTCTGGCTGTTGGGAGTTCTATAGACGGGCACAGACGCAGTAAATGCACCTGCACAAGAAGCAGTCCTGTAGGGCTGTTCGAAGACACAGACAGGTCATCCATGTCAAGTGCCTGCCCCATTGCAAGTTCCCAGTAATTAGTGCTGGCCTGGTGTGGCAGCCTGAAGGCATGCATGTTCTAATCCTCAGACTGTGCAAATATATTACCTTACATGGCAAAACATCTTTGCAGATAGGTTAAGCTAAGGATCTTGGGAAGAGATTATCCTGGATTATTCAGTGGCCCCAATGTAAGTACAAGAGTCCTTAGAAGAGGGAGATAGGAGGGTCCGAGTGAGAAGCGGAGGTCAGTGATGCAGTGCCACAAAACAAGGAATGCAGGTGCCTCAAGAAGCTGGAAAAGGTAAGGAAATGGATCCTCCCCTACAGCCTCCAGAAGGAGCCCAGCCCTGCTGACCCATTGCAGACTTCTGACCTCCAGAACTATAAGGAAATAAATGTATGTTGCTTTAAGCCACTAGGTTTGTGGTCATTTGTTACAGCAGCAACAGGAAGCTCATACATTTTGTCAGAGCAGGCCGAGGCCAGCACCTCAAGCATGTCCCTAACGTGGTGGGGCCATAAAACTTTACTCCATTCTTTTCTTTACTGATAAGATATAGGAAAGGACCAATGAAAACTATCCTGGTAACCCGGACTCACTCCTGGGCCTGCCTCTTGTTTGGAGGCGAGCTCAGAAGTCAGTATCTAAGTGACTCTGCACTGGGGAGGCCGACCCCACCCCAACACCCTGTTCGAGTAAGCCTTTGATTTCCTCGGAGTTAAGCATCTGAGACTCATTTCTCAGCCTTTGGGTACTCTGTGATACTTCCAAAATTATAACCGGGAACGTATGTAGCCCTTCCTATGCCTCAGGCACTGTTCTACACCCTGCATGTGTGAAACTCAGCCGATGCTGATAGCAGCCTACACGGGAGCTGCTGGTACTCTCCCCGCTCCAGGGGGGGCAGTGATGGCACGGTGGGGGGGGGGATTACCAATGTGCCCCCGGTCCCACAGTGGGAAAGAGGCAGAGCTGGGATTTGAACTCAGGCCCTGAGTTTCCAGAGTGTGCTCCTGGCCCTCCTGAGACCGCCTCTGCAGACGATGGTTCAGGAGGGCTTGGGGTGGAAAGTCTGTCATCTGTGACCACAAAACAGGGTCACATAGCTTGAAAGACACCTTCCAACTTCTACTTATTGTTGGAGTCACACTCTTCCATTTCCCTCCTGGGGTTATCATAGTTGTCCCCATACTTGTCAGAGACAGGAATGGAGGAGATTGGAAGTGTTCTCCCTCCCATGTGCAGATGGATGGTGCCCCGTACAGTCACTTCTGTTCCCACGCTGAATGGATGTGGAGGGCACTGGCAGCTACCGAGGCGCTTCCCTTTGGGGTGGAAGATAAAGCCTTCATTAGCATCAGGGGCAGGGGAGCCCTCCAAGGGGCTGTCTGTTGCTGGCTCTGTCCCAGGACCCTTCACCCAGGAATGTTCAGGTAGGGGGTCGGCCTTTGCATTTTACAGACAGCAGAGCTGAGGCCGGGCAGGTCTCTGACAGGGTCACACACAGCATGTCTGCAAGCTTTCCACCCTGACCGGGGCACAGCAGCAGCTCCAGCCGCTGTGTTCTGTCCACCTTGAAGACTTACTCTGCCCAGCTCTGGTACCACAGAGGAGGCGGGGAGTTCTTAAGTTCATCTTACAGACGAGATTCAGGCCGTAAGAACTGTTTTGTAAGTGCAACGAAGTTTAAAGATGGTTTAAGGGGACAGAGGGAATTTACATTTTGAGGCTGTAGACAGTCTAAAAATAAAATATTAGAGGGGCGCCTGGGTGGCTCAGTCGGTTGAGCGTCCGACGTCGACTCAGGTCATGATCTCACGGTTTGTGAGTTCGAGCCCCGTGTCGGGCTCTGTGCTGACGGCTTGGAGCCTGCTTCGGATTCTGTGTCTCCTCCTCTCTCTGCCCATCCCCCGCTTGTGCTCTGTCTCTCAAAAATAAATAAATTAAAAAAAAAATTTTTAATAAACTATTAGGTTTTCTACTTAGAGTCCTGTTGCCATTCCACCAAAAATTTCACATCAGACAGTGAGAATTTAGAAAGGAGAGAGGGTGCCCTAGGCTGAGTGCTCAGGGAGGGAGAGGAAACCAGCTGGAGCCCTAAAAGGAGACCAGCTGGGTTGGATTTCGGTAGAAAGGTGAGGGAGACAGGCACTCCAGGTGGAGGCCAGGCTTCCTCTGCCTTGCCCAGGATCAGCACAAGTTTCCAGAGGCACGCCTGGTAGGCAGCGCTCATCCTGGTGTGCTTGTTCTATTGCAGCGCGGGTGGGAGATCTGTGCCCGGTTCTCATGCCTGCTCTCCTCCCCGGGGTTGTTTCTTTCCACCAGGGTGACTGACGAAGTTTTTAACTTCCTGCTGGTGTGGTATTACTGCACCCTGACAATCCGGGAGAGCATTCTCATCAGCAATGGCTCGAGGTAACAGGGGACCTGGCTTTGTGGGGGGGGGGGGGCGTCGGGGGAGCCAAAGAAAGATCTGGAACGGATGCAGGGGAGGGCTGTCACCCCCAGCCTGTATTCCCTTCCTCCTCAGAGGGGGCGGGGGGTTGTCTGTGACTGTTCAGATCCAGGGAGGAGGGAAAACATGTCTGCTGGTGCAGCGTCACTCGCCATGGTCAGTCTCTTGCTTACAAAAAACTAACTCAAATGGGTTTAACACAACAAGAAGTTTATTTTCTCGTATCAAGGAACAGGTCTGTTGGGGCTGACTTCAGGTCAAGCTTAATCCAGGTACTTAGACAATGTTATCAGGACCCACTTTCTCTCCACCCTTCACCTCTGCCTTCTAGTATGATGTTTTCATTATCAGTCTCCATGTAGAAGCACCTGGGAGCTCCAGGCTCAAGTCTTTGTTTCTAGCATTCTCAGCAAAATAGGGCACATCACTTTTTTTCCAAGAGCCTCACTGGGTCCCATTGGCACTTGCTGAATCATGTGCCTGTCTCTGCACCAATCACTGTGGCCAGAGAATGCATGGCTGTGATTGGCCAGGCTTGAGCCTCATGCCTGCCCCTACAGCTTAGGAGCTCAGTGTCAGGAGGGGAGTGGTTCCCCAGAGGAAAATTGGGATACTGTCACCATGAGGATGAATGGATTCTGGTGACAGGAGTGACTGGTCCCCCCCCCCCCAGGGAGATAGGGAGGATGGAGAACATGTGGTAACGGCCTTGGTTCAAACCTGCTCTGTTACCCAGCTGGTGCTGAGGAGGAAGACAGTCAGGCTGGGAGTGAAGGTTCCAGAGTCCTAGTCCCAGTGCTATTCCTGAGCAGCTCTGTGACCCTGGGCAACTGATGTCCACTCTCTGGGCTATTTCACAGCCCCCTGGGGGAGTGTGTCTCAGGGTTGCTGAGTGAATCAAGACACTTGGGGCTCCCCATCACTGAGGGCCTTCTATGCCAGGAGCCCTGCTATTTTCTCATTCTCCTTCCTACCCCCACCTGTCTCTGAGCTGAGACCACGACTTGCCACCTGCAGGACCCATTTTCCACAGGTCTGATTCCTTTTTGGGATGGCCGTTTTCATCTCTGTGTGCCATGCTTGCCCCTATTTTCCCCTGGAACAGGAAGTAACAACCGCCCAACCCCTCCCTGCTTCTTTCCCTCTGGACACTACGAAGGAACTGTCATGAACTGTGTATTTCAGATTGGGGGGAGGGGTGTCTGCAAACTCCTAAATAATTTGCCACCTTTCACTTTCTGCCCAGTGGTCTCTTATGGCAGATCCCTGCCCTGCCGGGCCTTAGCCTGCATGTAGAGCCCAGAGGTAAGGAGCAGGGGAACAGCGAGTTTTAGGTATACAGCCCTGCAGCATGTAGCCCTTTAGAAAAAAAGATCAGTGTTTCTCAAACTACACTTGTTTTTTACCCACCCTCTCCATTTTTGCCTTTTCCATGTATCATCTGGTTGATACTGTTCACATTTTAAATCAACCTCTCCTTTTTTTTTAAACTTCAATAAATATTAGTTTATTTTAGAAGGAAATTTTATTTCATCACCATACATGGAAAACCAGCATCAGTCGCAGGAAGGAGGAAGTAGTGTAAAAATATCCTTTTGTTTTCCTTGTATAAGTTATTGAAGTCAATTATTTTTGCTTCCGGAAGGCTCTGAGCCTGAGGCCTGCCATCTCTCTCTTCGTGTGTGTACATGAGTGTGAAAAGGGAGATTTTTGGACCTGAGAGGCATTAAAGAGACTCTCCCGGACTTAGGAGAACAAAGAGAACTAAAGAGATGCCCTTTCCCCACACAGTTCAGTAGAATCTAGTGCGACACTCAGGTGTCATCTAAAACTTGAAATACACGCCCCAAGCTTTGGGAAACACTGAAGTGAAAAATCTCACCAAATAAATAACACTCATAGTCTTCCTTAATTGTAGTGAATAGTATCTTTCTGCTTTTGAGTGTCATTGGAGGGGAGCCAGGGTGGTAGATAGTGGGGAAAGGGGGCCGGGGCAAGTGGCAAAGTCTTCTTGGTCATGAATTCTCTTTCTGTTGTCATGGGCTTGCTGTCAGTCTTACAGTTTTATCCTTCTGATGGACTCTAAGAGTCTTCAGAGGCATGCTACATCTCTAACAGTCACTAACACTTTAGTAAGAGTTACTCTGGTCACCTCTTTATCTAGTGTGACAAGCTGTGGATGGGGCAGGGGAGAGGCATTACCAGAGAGAAAGGAACAGGACTGAGTGGAGGTCCCTGCAAGTGTGGGTCACACCAGGAAAGTGGGAAGGGGGACACAGGGGGGTAGAAGTGGGGTTCCAAAGCCAAGCCTCATTCGCCTAACACTTCAGCAGGTATCTCAAGTTGTAATGGGACTGTTCTTCTGGGCCTCTCTTCTGCTGTGGCCTGGGGCAGGGGTTTGGATGTGGTGGGGGCTGGGATCTGGAATGGGTGGGGTGGGTTTGGTGCTTTATCTTCTGGAATGACTTTGGAGCTGTGGTTCATTAGCTCAGTTAGTGCAATAAGCAAATCAAGTTCCTTTGCAAATCCTGCAAATGAGGGAAAACCACCAGTTAGGAGTAAACCTGAGGGGGAAACATTTATAAGCATACCTTGTCTAATTGCACTTTGCAAACGTAGTGTTTTTTATAAATTGAAGATTTGTGACAACCTTGTGCCGAGTAGGTCTATCGGCATCATTTTTCCAACAGCATTCGCTCATTTGGTGTCTCTGTCACATTTTGCTAATTCTTTCAGTATTTAAAACTTTTTTCATTATTATTATATTTGTTATAGTGATCTGTGATCAGTAATTAAAATTTGCTGAAAGCTCAGATGATGGTTAGTATTTTTTTAGCAATATATATTTTTTAAATTAATTTTTTATTAAAAAAAATTTTTTTAATGTTTATTTATTTTTGAGAGACACAGGGACAGAGTGAGAGCAGGGGAGGGGCAGAGAGAGAGGGAGACACAGAATCCAAAGCAGGCTCCAGGCTCTGGGCTATCAGCACAGAGCCCGACATGGGGCTTGAACCCACGAACTGTGAGATCATGACCTGAGCCGAAGCCAGATGCTTAACTGACTGAGCCACCCAGGCGCCCCTAATTTTTTTTTTTAAACATTTATTCATTTATGAGAGAGAGAGCACAAGCAGGGTAGGGGCAGAGAGAGAGGGAGACACAGAATCTGAAGCAAGCTCCAGGCTCCAAGCTGTGAGCACAGAGCCCAATGTGGGGCTCAAACTCAAGCTGTGAGATCGTGACCTGAGCTGAAGCCGGACGTTTAACCGACTGAGCCACCCAGGAGCCCCACAATATATTTTTAAATGAGGGTATATACGTTGTTTTTGGGGTTTTTTTTTATTTAAATTTTTTTTAATTTTAGAGTGTGAGCAGGGGAGAGGGGCAGAGGGAGATAGAGAATCTTAAGCAGCTTCACGGTCAGCACAGAGCCTGACACAGGGCTCGATCTCAACAACCCTGAGATTGTCACCTGAGCAAAATCAAGAGTTGGGTGCTTGACCAACTGTCTGAGTCACCCGGGAGCCCCTGTGCATTGTTTTTTTAGACCTGCTATTGCACACTTAACTAGACTACAGTACAGTGTAAACATAACTTCTATAGGTACTGGGAAACCAAAAACTTCACTTGACTTGCTTTATTGTGACATTTGCTTTGTTGCAGTGGCCTGAAAGTATACCCACAATCTCTCTGAAGTATGCCTGTGTATTAATAGTTCAAGGTGTTAAAACTGGCTCAGTGTTAACAGTCCTTCTCCCCATTCTGTTCTGCTGCTGCACTGGCCAGCATCACAACAAATCAACAATCTCACAGGAAAGAGCTCTTTCCTCGGAAGATCCAGTTGTAATTTTGAGATTGATTTCTGATTGGCTGGGCTGAGGTCATATGCTCATCCTTGAGCCAATCACTGTGGCTGAAGGGATGTAGAGTCCCAATTGCCTGGCTGTGAGTCATGTGCCCAGTTATATCCCTCAGCTCCCTTTCAACCACCCAGATGGAGTGTGGGGATGAGGTGGTTCACCAAAGGAAGGGCCTGGCGTGAAGCCAGCATGCAGGGAGGATGAGGGTGTGCAGGGGGTTGGGGGGTGGTGATTGACAGAGAGGCAAAACAGCAGATGTCCTCTATAGTTAGTTCTGGGCCAGAATAAGTAATGAATCAGGGATCGTGTTAGCTTTCTTGGCCAGCCAGCCCATGGGTGCTTGGTTCCAATTGGCTGTTGTAGGGGCCTTTCCTAGGATAAAGACTAGGGGTGGCCAGGAGGGAGGGATCCTCAGAGTGGAAGCTAGCTATTTCCCCTGACTGCCCACATGACCCAAGCTCAAAGCCAGAAACAGCCTGTGATTGAATAATTGCTGGTGCCTGTAGATTGTGCACACATGTAAATATGGCTGAGGTCCTAAAGAGAGGACTGTGGTCTCCTCAGGCACCATCCCCAGACACTGGGCCACGCTATTCCTACATTGTGGCTATGTGTATACCACTCTTCATTGGGTATCTACTGTCTGTACATTAAAAAGCCCATTAACCCCTACAAACTTTATTTCTGTGGCAAAACAGGCTCAAAGAGTGAGTAATGGGTGCAGGTTTCTTTTGGGGTGATAAAAATGTCCTAAAACTGATTGTAGTCACGGTTGTGCAGCTGTGTGAATGTCCTGAAAACCACTGACTTGTGGATCCACTAAGTGGATGACGTGTATGATAATCTGAATTGAATCACAATAAAGCAGTTGCACACACACACACACACAGGGCACAAAACCAGCCCAGCACCCTGGAGAGTGCAGATAGATGAGGGGGCTCATGAACGCCATGCCAGGGAAGAAGCAGTTTCTAGCCTTTCCTAGTGCATCTGAGCGGTGCTTACTTATTGGGGGCACCTGTCAGAGCTGGGCTTTGGGCACTGTGAGCTGTGGACTGGGAGCTGCTGCCCAGCCAGGCTTGCTGCATACATCCTGCGTCTCTGGCTGCTCCCACACCGGGAGGGGGCATTCTCGGGGTGGGGGTGGGTGGGTTGGGGAGGAAGACAAAGGGGCACTGGGTTTGCCAAGCCTTAAGGGCTTGTGTGTGTGGCTCTGCAGAGAACTTGGGGAGAAGTGGTTCCGGAGAGGCTTCTTGGGTGCTCTGCAAGCTGAAAGTCTGCGGATGGGGCTAACTGCCTTTTCTATCAGAAAATTAGAGCCAGGGGTCCTTGTAGACTCTGACAGGCAATACAGGGACATTGGGAGGGGGAGTCTGGGCACAAAGAAGTGGGTGGATGTCTCGTCCTGCACCTGCATGCTGGTGGCGTCTAGACCAGCTGCTGCTTCATCGGCCATACCTCCTGGACATCACTTCATTCGTTTCAGCATCTATTTAGTGCCTACTGTTTACCAGGTGCTATTAGTGCTAGGCATAAAGAGTCACCTAAGACCTTGTTCCTAACCATAACCCTCGAGGTATCCACAGGCCATGCCTGAGCCCCTAATTTATGTCCAGGTCTATTGTAGGATTGCAAAGAGGAAAGATGAGTAAGATCCAGTCCCTGCTTGTAGGATGTCTGCATCTGATTAGAAGGTTTTAAGACAACTCAAACCCACTTACTAAGACAATGCAAGTTAAAACCTCAATGACACAGTAATTTTCACCTAATAAGAAATTTTAAAACTTGGAATCCAGCATTGGTGAGGGTTTGGGGAACCAAATTTCTACTGGCCAGTCCTTGGGAGGAAGGAGCCCAGCTGCTCCCAGGCTGCATTTGGCAAAGCAAATCATTGCCACATTGTGTTCAGGTAACTGAGCTCTTAGAAGCTGGAGAAGATCAGAGGCCAGAGACAAGACTCAAGGACTTCGAAGGTTAAAAGGTTTGAGGGTCCAGCTTTCATCCTAGGCTGGAATATTGACACTGAGGAGCGATTGACAGGCTCCCTCCTGTCCTGTGGAGTGAGAGCTCTCAGTTGGGGGAGCACTGGGTTCTGAAAACAGGGTTCCCACAGCTTCTGGACTGGACACAGGAAGTCCAGGGCTGGTCAAGGCCCTGCTGTAGATGGAGGAGCAGATGAGCCCAGGGCATGGGCTCCCAGGGAGAAACTGTCTGGGACGATGTGAGATGCTGTGTGGACAGTCTGTCATTTCTCTGTGTCTGCGTGGGATAACGTAGGTAGCTCCAGCTCTCTGTAAGTGTGTGTGCGTGCGTGCGCTGTGTTTATTCAACACACTGAGCACCTGCTCTGAGCCAGGTGTCACAGATACATCCATGAAGAAGACAGACAAAATTGCTGCTTTTCTCATGTTTACATTTGGGGAAGAGGGTTCAGAGAACAAACAAGGGGAAAAAAGGAGTAATTTCAGATAGTGGTAAGCACCGTGAAGAAAATGAAACAGGGTGATGTCATGTAAAGTGGAGCTGCCTGGCTGTTTTAGATAAGGTAGCCGGAGGCCTTTTGGGGGAGGGGACAGTTGGTCCAAAACTTGAATTTGGATCAGGAGCCAGGCAGGCCAAGTTCTTGGAGCAGAGAGAATAGCAAGTGCAAAGTCCCTATTAGACAAAATACCACAGGCTGGGTGGTTTAAGCAACAGAAATCTATTTTCTTATAGTTCTGGAGGCTCGAAGTCCAAAATCAAGGTGAGGTGCCAGCAGGATTGGTTTCCCCTAAGGCCTGTCCCTGGCTTACACATGGTCACCATGGCTTCATGTGGCCTTTGGGGGCTTGAACTCTGAGCTCTGAGGTCAAGAGTCTGACACTTAACCAACTGAGCCACCCAGGTGCCCTTTTTTAAAATTTTATTTTAAGTTTATTTATTTATTTTGAGAGAAAGACCGAGTGCACAAGTGGGAGAGGGGCAGAGAAAAGGAGGGACAGAATCCCAAGCAGGCTTTGTGTCATCAGCACAGAACCTGATGTGGGGCTCAAACCCACAAACTGAGATCACGACCTGACCTGAGATCAAGAATCGGGTGTTATTTGATTTTTAATTTTTTTTAATATTTTTATTTTTGAGACAGAGAGACAGAGCATGAGCAGAGGAGGGGCAGAGAGAGAGGGAGACACAGAATCTGAAGTAGGCTCCAGGCTCCGAGCTGTCAGCACAGAGCCCGACGCGAAGCTCGAACTCACAGACTGTGAGATCATGACCCGAGCTGAAGTCGGACGCTTAACCGACTGAGCCACCCAGGTGCCCCAAGAATCGGGTGTTTAACCGACTGTGCCACCCAGGCACTCCCCCATCACCTTTTTTTAAACCTTAATTAACTCTTTAAAGTTCCTACTTCCAGGGGTCCTTGGCTGGCTCAGTCAGTGGAGCATGTGACTCGATACCTGGGTCGTGAATTTGAGCCCCATGTTGGGTATGGAGATTACTTAAATAAAGTTCCTATCTCCAAAACCAGTCACATTCTAAGGTACTGGGGGTTAGGGCTGCGACATAGGAATTTGAGAGACACAATTCAGCCTCTAACAGGACCTGAGGTAGCAATGGGCTTGGCAGGTTCAAGGAGAGGACAGGGAGACAGGGCTTGAAGTAGGGTGTGATTAGGGATGTGTTCTTAGGGTAGTGAGAAGCCACTGGGGGCCAGAGTCCTTCTGTGGGTCTCATGGCCAATCTGTGAGTGGTTTATGTGTGATTGTGCATTTCTGTAGGAGAAAAGCACAGAGTCATGGCTTGGGTCTATTTCATGGCTGTTTCTGGGCCGCAGAGTAGCAAACCCACCCCCCCAAGTCTGAGAACAAGAGCCACCTGTGTTTCCTTCCCCACCTGAGCTCCTTTTCCTTCTCCTCTCTCCAAGAATTAAAGGCTGGTGGGTGTCTCACCACTACGTGTCCACGTTCCTCTCTGGAGTGATGCTGACCTGGTGAGTCTCATGGGGGTCCATGAATGGGGGGAGCTGGCAGTAGGCAAGGGGGCACCTTTGGGGCTCCTGGCCTGGGCTGACTTTTGGGCCAAGAAGGAAAGCGTGAGCTTATAGCCAGGCCGCAGGGATCCCCCAGGCCCACTGGGAGGTTTCTGGGGAGGTCCCAATGGCCTGCTGGCTGAGGCAGAGGTAACAGGGAGTGACAGATAGAGCACACGGATGAGGCTCCAAAGGAGACAGATGGAGGGAGTGGGAATCAATAAGAACTTAGGCTTCAGAATGATGATATGTGTCCCCAGGTTGTAGAACGGGCTTAAAGCAATGATGGAAGTAATCTGGTCCAGCCTGAGAGACACTGGTGCTGAAGAAGGGCAGAAATCAGGGACCTCCGTTTAATTTTAAAAGCTTTTCTCTCTTAGTTGGAACAGAGAGGGACAAGGATGAATGTCTGATTTCACAGCATGCCTCACCTTTGCTTTTCCCCACTTCTCTGCAGGCCTAACGGATTAATTTATCAGAAGTTTCGTAATCAGTTTTTAGCGTTTTCCATTTTTCAGAGTGAGTGTCTCTTGCCTAGATTGGGGGGAGGGGGCATGGTTTCCTGTGGCTTTCACTGATGGAGGCCCCTGTCATCCCTCCTCCCTTGTGAGGGGTGCGTCTGGTGTGGAAGGGAGCTCCAGGCAGGGGAGGATCCCAGAAATCCAGGAAAGAGGCATCTCCTCCCAGATCACTGCCCCATCCTGGGGTAGGGGCAGCCTGACCACCCTCACCCCTAGAATCCCCCACCACTGCCTTTTCTTCCACATGTCACAACTGGACTAGTTGTGACTTTTGTGAACTGAGTGGTGTTGAAGGCACAACTCAAAATGGAAATAGAGTATATGTTCTTTTTCTCATTTAAGAATAGCTCTGGATTTATGTACAGTGAACTGGTCCCAGAGGTCACCTCTGGGAATTGGAAACTTGGATAGTTGGGAATAGCAACAGAGAGTTCTGTTTTTCATCCAGTACCTGTTTGTTCCCTTTGAATTTTATAGTGTGTGCGTATTGCCAATTAAAACAATACAATTTGATTTTTAAAAATTTATTTTTAATGTTTGTTTATTTTTGAGAGAGAGAAAGCACGTGAGCAGGGGGGAGGCAGAGAGGGGGACAGAGGATCCGAAGCAGACTCTGTGCTGACAGCAGACAGCCAGATACAGATACGGGGCTCAGATATGGGGCTCAAACTCACGAACTGTGAGATCATGACCTGAGCCCAAAGCAGGAATCAGATACTTAATGGACTGAGCCACCCAGGTGCCCCATGATGGGTATTTTTCTGTGTCAATACAGAGAAGGCTATCTCTTCATTTTTAGTAACTACTAAGTATCTCATTGTATGAAAATGTCTCTTGCTGTCTTAGCATTACACACAGCTCCCAGCATGATGCCACCATTCCAACAAGTATCTATTGAGTGCCCACTGCATGCTTAGGAAAGCTCTAGAAGTTTCTAGTCTAATTGGTGCTTAGCTGGGTCTTCAGATAACCTGCTCCCATTGTATTCTGGATAAGGGATAAAGTGGGTTCAGGCTGAGTGTGTGTGTGTGTGTGTGTGTGTGTGTGTTGGGAATGGGAGGGGGTTGCCCTCTGGGCAGTGAAGACTCCTGGGTCTGCACAGAGCTGGTGCCCGGTCCTGCAGGCTCTGAGCCTGGTGCTGTGCTCCCCCTGCAGGCTGTGTCCAGTTCCTGCAATATTATTACCAGAGGGGCTGCCTCTACAGGCTGCGGGCTCTGGGAGAGAGGAATCATCTGGACCTCACGGTGGGTAAGTAGCCCAGCCTGGGGGTAGGTAGACGAGTACTGGCCCCTCCTTGCTCCCCCAGACCTCACCCCTAATTTCCTACACTGGGAGCACAGACCAATAAAAACATAATAAGACCTACCACACACAAAACCAGGGCTGCTGGCCTCTTGCCTAAGTTGCTTTTCATAATTCATCATGGATTCTGTTTCAGCTGACAAGCTTGAGGCCAGCTGTGTGCCAGGCCTTGATGCATGCTTCTGTGTTACCAAGTGTCTATTTCTTTTAATCTGTGTTTTATATTATAATGCTAGCCTAGTGTTGTGCATGTATAATTTGTGTATAATATACCTACATATAAATATATATAGACACATATATGTATATACATTGGGAAGGTGTGCTTAATTTTTAAAATTTTTTTAAAATTCTCTTTTAATGTTTATTTTTGAGAGAGAGAGAGTGGGGGAGAGGCAGAGAGAGAGGGGGGACAAGAATCTGAAGCAGGCTCCAGGCTTTTAGCTGTCACCACAGAACCTGACACGGGGCTTGAACTCATGAACCATGAGATCATGACCTGAGCCGAAGTCGGACGCTTAACCGACTGGGCTACCCAGGCGCTTCTTTTTTTTTTTTAACTCATGGGGCGATTGCCCAGTCAGAAGAGCTTGAGAACTCTTGTTTCAACTTTCACAGGAAACTCATAAAATTCTGCCATCTTTTGAGATGGTCATTTTCATTGAATTACTCTGCAACGTAGGCCCTACTTTGTCAGGACTCAGTTGAAGTGATGCATGCAAAAGTCCATTATAAAATGCAAAATTCTGTGCAAATTAAAGAACTTATTAAAACACAGTGCCTGCCATGTCAGCTTTCTGCAAGTGTCATCCAGCTCTAGGAGTTCTTGGTGACTTGAAGCCTGAGAGCAGTCAGGCCTGGTGTCAGGTGTTCTGCATGTTCTCTGGGTGATTTTCATAGCTGAGTGCTCACCCATCCACGAGAGGAGAGGGTTGTCCTCCCTGCCCCGTGTGGCTAGTCTCGGGGTGACTGCTGTGGCTAGGCCGCAGGCGCCTGGTGGGGCTGTGGGGGCAACTGAACCCCCTCACATGGGCCCTTGGCTTCCTCCTTCCTCTCCACAGAAGGGTTCCAGTCCTGGATGTGGCGGGGCCTCACCTTCCTCCTGCCTTTCCTGTTCTGTGGCCATGTGAGTCCCCCTGGAGTTTGTGGGTGTCCCCTGCTCTGGGCTGACCCTGGGAATGGGAGGTCTTCAGGCCTCTCCCACATTCACCAGCCATCCCCGGGCTGAGCCCTACAGGGTCCTGGCATGCCAAAGGCAAGAGACAGAAGTGGCCCTCAGCACCAGCATGCTGATTCCCACATCTTCAGGCTGTTCTGGCGTAGGGTGGCCCCAGTTTCATTTTGGGGGGTTCTCAGTGTCTTGGGATAGGTGATACCAGAACCTTGGGGGAGCCTGGCCCATTCCCTGGGGTTCCCCATGTGGGACTCCAGGGGAGTCTGTTGGGGCAAGCGGCGCCTGCCTCCCTCTCTCCAGTTCTGGCAGCTCTACAATGCCGTCACGTTGTTTGAGCTCTCCAGCCACGAGGAATGCAGAGAATGGCAGGTATGGGGTGTGTGTGTGTGTGTGTGTGTGTGTGTGCGCGCGCGCGCGTGCGTGTGTGTTGGTGGGTGGCAGAGGGTGTCCTGCAGAAGGCTGGGCCAGCTTGGAGAGAATTCTTTCCTCAGCTACCCCTTGATTCCCCACCATGGGGCCCTGTGCTCAGAGCTCCCTGCTACTGGGGCCTGGGAGACTGGGAGGGAACTCGGGAAGCCGCGGAACCCCTAAGTGGTCTGAGAGCCCTATTGAATGCTATGGGTGGGGAGGGGCGGGGGCAAGAGAGAAGCCATCTCCAACCCTCCGTGACCCTGAAGATTCACAGCCTTCACACAGTTGGCCCAGATCTCTGCTTTCTGCTGGTGGAACCCTGCAGTTTTCTGGCAGCTTACGCTAAGGGGGTCGCGAGGTCACGGAGGCAGAGTGGGCATCTCAGCCGGGAGCCGATCTGAGCTGGCTCAACCTTTTCCTCCTTTCCCCTCCCCCGTGCTGGGCCTTCCCCTGTCTTCCCGCACGCCCCTGCCCCTGCCCAGGTGTTCGTGTTGGCGCTCACTTTCCTCGTCCTCTTCCTTGGCAATTTCCTGACCACACTCAAAGTCGTGCACGCGAAACTTCAGAAGAACAGAAACAAAGGGAAGAAGCTGTGAGCCAAGGGACCTGTGCACCCCCAGCCCCTGGGGTTCAAGACTGCAGGGGGTTCCAGCTGGCACCTGGCCGCACCTGATTTCCTCCCCACAGTGTCCTTGGCCACTGCAGCAGCCACCTCAGGGGCCAGCGCATCACTGGTAGAAGGGCCAAGGCCCTGGTCCCCGGTGGACAAGAGGAATGTGGCCCCTGCCCGTCTGCACAATGTTAGCCTGCTCAGCCTCCCTATTTATGACATATTTAACACGGGGTCCTCCCGACTGCCCTAGAATCCGCAGTCTTCCCTCGCTGCCCTCTCACGGCTGAGACTGGGTCAGTCTTCCTGGGCGGGGGCCTAAAGCCTCAGGGAGCCCCTCAGGTTGGGGTTTGGATGTGCCTCGCTGGAGTGCCGACCTGCTACTTACTGAGTCCCCAGCAGGTGGAAGGAAACCCCTCGGCGTCCTGTGGAGCCTCCCTCCCCGGGGCAAACCGGCAAACCGCTTCCGCTGTAAGCTCTCCCGGCCTCCGCTGCTCCGTGGTGGGGTATTTTAAGTTCTCAGAGAATCACTGTCTGTCTGTGACTGGTGCTCTTTGTGCTTCCTCTCCCTCCTGCTGGCCACCTGGGGAGAAGTGCCCTGCCTCCCCGAGGGCCTGGTCCCTGGGGTGGGCCTGAGGCGAGGGGGGGTGCTGCTACCACCAGAGGGCGCCCCAGCCTTGGCATCACTTGGGTGGTTTGAGATAGTTTGGTGTTGGGTTTTTTTGAATTTGAAATTTTGGCTTCCTGACCCCCACCCCTCAGCCCACTTTCCTGAATTCTTGCAGTGAGTGGGACCCTTACTTTCAGCGCTGGCTGGGACTTAAGCCATCACAGAGCTCACCCACCCTCCCCCTCAGGTTCTAGAATGTTGGTGGGGAGAGTCTGAGCAGGCTCACTTCTGGGAGGTGGCACTTGGAAGCCAGGACAAGTCCGCTGGTCACCTTGTGTCGGATTCTGTACTTGAATGCTTGTGGGGAGGATGAAGAAGCTAGCAGGTTTGGTTGAATGTTCGGCGCCTTCTCCCACACGCGAGCCTCAGCTGCCTTTAACTATTTCCCTACAAATCCCCTCTGACCAGAGTTCAGGGCTGGCATCCACAGTCATGCTTTGGCTCTCAGAGGAGTTTAAGCTTCTTTTTTAATTGTTACATTTTTAAAATATGAAATTTCCCCTCCACCCCAGTAAGAGTCCACATAAAAACCCAGATTTCTACTTTCCCTAGAAAAATGGAAAGATCTGTCAACATTCCCACAGGGCAGTTCTTGGCTGGGCTGAGCTGCCTGCCTAGGATGGGGTGCTTGCTTTCTAGTATGCCACAGACCCACCACTCCCTTTTGTACCTGTCCAGTTTCACTCGTTTGCACCTCCCATCTGGCCCTAAGGCACTTGAGTTTTCCTTAGACTAGGAGTCGGTAAACTTTTTCTGTAAAGGGCCAGATGGTAAGTAAATATTTGAGGGCCAGATAATCTGTTACAACTACCTTAGCCTGCAGTTGTAGGGCAAAAGCAGCTAATGCATACATAAATGAGCGTGGCTGTGTCCCAACAAAACTTTATTTACAAAAACAGGCAGCTGCCAGATTTGGTCCACAGACTGTACGGTTTGTGGACCTCCGTCCTATATCATTTATCATTTGTCCATGAGGCCTTGGATTGACGACGCTCTTGACTCCCCAGGTCATGGCAGGGCCTTGGGGAACCTGTGTGAGGGGGGTGGAATACAGAAGTCTCTTTCCCTAGCAATTGACTTCAGAGAGGCTCAGGCTTGGGGCTGAGGCAGGAGATCCTGGGGAGGGCAGGAGGCACCTGAAGCCGTTATGCCACGTTCAGTAAGGCTGACTCCTGGCTAACTCAGGAAGCAAGCAGCTCTCAATCTGTGGGGCATTAGAATCACCTGGGGCACTTGTTTAAAAGCTCCCGGAAGTGACTGCAGACCTTCCAGGAGGAGGTTCAGTGGATCTGCAGCTGGGGGTTAAGTGTGTTTTCACAGGAGGTCAAGGGGGTCTCAGCTCCAGAACTCCACATCCTGGCAGAAGTGGAGGCTGTGAGGGACAGAGGAAACTTGATGACTATTAAAATGAGCCAGTGCCGTCCTTTTGCAGATAGGGAGATAGTCCACAGAGAGGAGTGACTTGCCCAAGGTCACTCGGAGCCAATGTCACTTTCATCTCAAGTTCCTGGCACTGGGGGGTTGCAGGTGAGGAGCCCCTGAGCAGGGGTTGGATGTGTGGTCCAGGGTACTTTTTGCTTTTTGAGAGAGTTTCTTGTCCCCCTTGGGCATGTGTGCCGGCTCTGCAAAGATGGTGGCCCAGCCAAAGGCTGAGACTGGAGTCCTCTGGGGGGGGCCGGGGCCGCTGTTGGCCCCCGTGTCTGGGGCTGGTGCCTGTGTTGTCCCGATAGGCCCCTATCCCATCGTGGTCCCCGAGCTCCTGGAGGAAGGAAGTGATGAGCTGGAGAGTGCAGCCGTGCCTATCTCCAGAGCCCAGGGAGGCGGGTGACATGGGAGCAGCGGTCTTGGGGGGGGGGGGGGGGCGTGTGGAACGCTGACGAATCCACACTTATCCACGTACCAGATGTAGTTCTTTGTTTTAAGCATAGGTTTTGAGGACCTATTGGGTGTGCAAAGGGGGATACACGTGGCTGGGGGGAGGCCACGTACTCCTGAGTCCTGGGGACATATGCCGGTTCCAGGTACAGAGGGACTGAGTCCAGCACCCTCACCCACCTCCATGCGGGCCACAGCTCCAGTGTGAACCCAAAGGTGAGTTCATGGTCAGAGCCGCAGCTGGGAAATAAGAGATCTCCAGAATGTTCTAAGAGTCTAACCAGAGGCTCCAGACACAAGGAGACACCCACCTCCAGGTGCCCTTGGAAAGCTGGGGATGGGGCAGGATCTCGGGGTATAATCCGGGGCTGGTGGCCTGGCCCCTGTCAGTCTTGCCCTGAGGGCTTTGTGCCCTACCCAGAGGGGTCAGAGCAGCAGGCACAACCGGTGTTGTTTCTGCCGCTGTGCTTTCTTCAGAGCACTGAGGGCAACCTTGGCGGCCTCTCGGAAAACGTCCTCCACATTCTCCCGAAACTTGGCAGAACATTCTAGGTAGAGGGCGGCTCGGATCTGTTCGCAGGCGCTCTGACCCTGGGTGGGCGGGAGGGGCTGGCATTAGATGAGGGGCCTGGAGCATGGGGCACCTCCTGACACCCCCTCATGGATCTGGGGACTTGGATCTGGCTCTGGGGGGCCCCCCGGGGCGGGAGCCCCCTTCTCCCTATCCCGGGCCCAGCCCTCACCAGTGTGGGTGGATGGAACATAACGGCCTGTCTGGTGTGGCCTGAGGGCTGCGGCTGCTGAGAGAAGCGTCCTGTCCACCTTCAGGCAGAGAGGGGGCCGGATCCCGACAACTGTGTCTGCCAGGCCTCTGACGAGCTAGGGGCCCCCAGACACAAAGGGCTTCCTACTTGCCTCTCTCCTCTTCTCCAGAGCACAACTAAGGAAACGGCTTGCTAGGAGAGTAAAAACTCTCTCTTCTAACATTTGCTTTTATTAATGCTTCTTTTTATTAAACTTTCTTACCAGTGTTCTTTGTGTTCCTTTTATCGTCCCGTGCCTCACCCAGAAAGCCGCAGGGTTTGGTTTTGCCCGTGACTCTCGTGAGTAGGGGAACCCTGCTTTTGAACAAGGCCTGCCTCTCCAGTTCCCTCTGGCAGACAGGACAGGATGGTGGTTAAGGACCCAGACTCCGGAGCCAGAGTGACTGGGGCAGGATCCTGGCGATCTGCTGCAGGTTAGCTGTGTGGCTCTTAACCTCCACTTAACCTCTCTGGGTCTCCACTTCTCTCCCACAAAATAGGGGATGCCAACAGAACACACCTCAGCGTTATAAGGATTAAAGGACAAAGCGAAGAAGAGGGCGGAGAGGAGGGAAATGGAGGGGGAGAGAGGGGAGACCCCCTACCGACCTGCATGTAGGTGATGGGCTCCAGCTGGGCCGCCCTGAGCTTCCGCAGCTGCTCCTTGTCCTTCCTCAGGTCTGTCTTGCAGCCAATGAGCACCGTGGGGGTCCCACGGCAGAAATGTGTGACCTCAGGGAACCACTGTGGAGGGAGAAGGCAGGCATCAGGGCTGAGGCCAGATCCGTGGTCCCCACCCCTGAGGTAGGCTGGCTGGGTCCCGGGCCTCACCTTGATGAGGACGTTTTCATAGCTGGTGGGGTTCATGACGTCATAGCAGATGAGCACGAGGTGGGTGTTCTGGTAGGACAGGGGTCGCAGCCGGTCATAATCTTCCTGCCCTGAAACCGGAGGGTAGGTAGGGGTCAGGGAGGCACCACTTCCTTGTCCACCTGACTCCCCTGTCTGGGCTCAGATGGGCAAGGCGTTGGTGACTCTGTCTCTAAGGCCTCAGTTTCCTCGTCTGCAAAACAGAGGTGGCAACCCCCGGTAGCAAAGATTACACGAGACGAAACCCGTGCAGTGCCCAGAACGGCCTGATTACAGCGCGCTCAGGAGAAACTGGAGAAACTTGCTAGCGATTTTGCCCATGACCATTACCGCTGCCCCCTTGCCCTGGCACCCAGGTTAGAGAGAGAGAGAGGCCGAATCCCTCCCCTCCCTGAAGGCTCAGGGGCTGGTGGGGCCCAGGCCACTGTGGGGCCGGGCAGGCAACCAGCACAGCTGCTGTCAAGCTCACCACATTCAGACTCACGTGGGGAGACTGAACACCCCTCCCCCAGCACAGACTGAATCCGAGGCCAAGGCTGAGTGTGGCTTTTTAATGTTTTTAGTAATTTTTTCTATTGACAAGTTCAAACTTAAAAGTTGCAAAAAGGGTGCCAAGAACGCCCTCAGATCTCCAAGTGTTTACACTTTGCTCCACTTGCCCTTTCTATATGTAAACACGTGAGCCACGCCACAGTAATGGCCGGCGTCCTGCTTCTTCACCCCAGGATAGTGCCCCGCGGATTTTCTAAGAATGAGCACATTCTATATCACCTCCCATAGTACAGGTATCAAACGTGAGCAACCACTCACGTGAGCAACTGACACTGTTCTCTAGCCAAACCCACAGGCTGACTCAGGTGTCACCGGTGATGTCCCGTAGGGGGGATTGCCGTGGTCCAGAAGCAGGCCCAGGGTTATGCCCTGCACTTGGTCACCATATGCCCTAGTGTTCTTAAAGGCACAAAGGTGACCTCCTTCCATTACTTGGGACGCAGAGGCCCAGGAATCCCCTGCCCCTACCCCGGTGAGGCGCCAGCCTACCCTCTGGCTCCCTCCCTGCCAAAGTTGGCCTTTCCACTGAAGGCGGACAGACCACATCCTGCTCCCGCCCCCCAGCTGCTGCCAGGATACTGCCACCTTCTCCCTTCCCACTGGTTCTCCCTCAATCCAGGACCCCTGAGGGCGTGCAGTGAACAGCAGCCACAGCTATGACAGTGGCTGGGCCAGGAGGACTCCATGCAGCCATTCAGCCCGAGTCCCCCCAACACTGTCAGGGCCCGGCCGACCCAGATTCTTCTGTCCTTATCACCACAAAGCTGGAGAAATCCTTGTACAATGGTGGGAAACAGGCCAGGATGCTGCTTCAGCTCATCTCCAAACTGTCCCCTCTCCTAATCTTTGTCCATGTCTTTCTAGACCTGTGCTGTCCCATAGGGTAGTCACTAGCCCCATGTGGCTATTTAAGTTAATTAACATTAAAAATTCAGGTTCTCCATTGCACTAGCTACATTTCAAGTGATTCATCGCCACACAGGGCTAGCGGCTGCCGTAAACGGGCAGCTCAGGTGCAGGACCTGTATCACTGAAGAAAAGTTCTGTTGGGTAGCATGGCACCATCCAAGCCACAGCTGGTCGCCCATGATCTGCTGCCTCTTAACAATCCACTCTCCCTCCACCCAGCAGCTGGATGAATCTAAAACACGAGTGAAATCCTGCCTCTCTCCCGTCAAAGGAAAAACATCTTCAATAGGGGCACCTGCATGGCTCAGTCAGTTAAGTGTCTAACTTTTCGGTCTTGGCTGAGGCCACATTCTCACAGCTCGTGAGTCCCAGTCCTGAGTCTGCACGGAGCCTGCTTGGGATTCTCTCTCTCCCTGCCCTTCCCCTGCTCACTCTCTCTCTCTCAAAATGAATAAACTTAAAAATATATATATCTTCAATAGCTCTCTATTGCCTTTTGTACTAAATCCAAACATCTCCCAGGGTCCACATGACCTGCACCCACGGACCCTGACCATATCTCCCTCCCCCCTCCTCCCCCCCACACTGTTTCCAAACCCACCAAGCTCTGGTGCCTCAGAGCCTTTGTACTTGCTGTCTTCCCACACCTGGAATGCTTTAAAAAAATTTTTTTTTTCACATTTTCTTTTTAGCATTATTTAAAAATATTCAGACTGACAGTCCACGTTATTTCCTTTTCTAGGATAATTGTCTCCTCTCTACTTCTTCACATTGATACCCCCTTATGCTTTATATATATTTTTTAATGTTTATTTTTGAGAGTGCAAGCGGGGGAGGAGCAGAGAGAGGGGCATAGAGGATCCTAAGCGGGCTCTACGCTGACAGTAGTGAGCCCAATGGGGGGCTCAAACTCATGAACCACAAGATCATGACCTGAGCCAAAGTTGGATACTCAACTGACCGAGCCACCCAGGTGCCCCACTTTTTTTTTTTTTTAATGTTGTTTATTTATTTTGAGACAGTGCAGGGGAGGGGCAGAGAGAGGGAGAAAGAGAATCCCAAGCAGGCTCCGCACTGTCACTGCTCAACTTCATGAACCGTGAAATCATGACCTGAGCCAAAATCAAGAGTCAGACGCTTAACACGCTGAGGCACCCAGACACCCTGCTTTAGACACTTCTTAGAGTGCTTTTGCCTAGGGACAGTTAAGAAATCCTTACAGCCACCACCCGATATGCTAGTCAAGAAGTTAAGAATACTCCCATGTATACTGAGCTCAAAGAAGTGACCTGCCCGAGGTCATCAGTGAGCCAGGCAGGACGCAACCCCAGTTTATCAAGTTCTGGGTCAAGCATTCCTTCTGGTGATACCAGCAAGGCTCTATTCTGCTTTGCATTGTGCAAAAATAGGTTCTGGTCCTCCATGATTTAATGAGGTTTCCTAATTCTGGCATAACATACATATCCATTCCCTGTTAGAAATATGGCAGGAGTAGGGGCACCTGGATGGCTCAGTCGGTTAAGCGTCTGACTTTAGCTCAGGTCATGATCTCGCGGTTCCTGAGTTTGAGCCCCATGTCGGGTTCTGTGCTGACAGCTCAGAGCCTGGAGCCCGCTTTGGATCCTTGTCTCCCTCTCTTCTGCCCTTCCCCCCACTTAAATTCTGTCTCTCAAAAAAAAATAAACATTAAAAAAAAAAAAAAATAGGGCCGGAGTGGACAAGTAGTTGTAAAACAGGCCTCTTGTGCTCCAACGGCTTCCCTCATCCTGACTGGCTGGCCCCTCAAGAAAGACCGTCCCTCGTCTCTCACCACACAGAGTCTCCCCCACCCTGGGTGTCCACAATCCGTGCTCAGACACTGGCTTACTGCCTGTCTCCCCATGGACTGTAAGCACCCTGGGGGCAGGGACCATGTCTGTCCTCGCAAATAACCCCTGGCGCCCGGCAGGCGTCCAGTCAAGACTGGCTGGTTGTTGGCGGACGCTGTTCAGCTCTTGTCAGATGCAGCAGAGACCAGGGCCGCGACGTGCCAGGGGGTTTAGCAATTACGGCCTGTGAGGATTTCAGCAGAGCTGATGAGGGCAGAAGTCGGGCAGCCGTGGGTTGAAGGAGGAAGCCAGACCTAGCCTGCTCCCCTTTGGGGGCCTCTGCCCTTGCTGTTTCTAGAAGGTTCTTCCCCAGGTAGCAGCAAGGCTTGCCCCCTCCTTTCCTTCAGGTCTCTGCAGAAATGTCACCTCCTCGGGGGCAGCTTTCCTGACTGCTCGGAGACAAAGCCTTCGACCCAGTCTGTCCCATGTCCGACCATGGCTTTATTATTCTTCTGAGTACGTATCACTACCTGACATTTGGTTTGGGTTTGGCTTTGTCTCCCCACCATGAGCACACTTGCCCCGGAGGACAGGGGCCATCTCTGTCATCCCCTGGGATGCAGGCGCACGCAATAAACGTGTGGTGAGTGAACGAACGAATGAGTGGGTGAGTAGGTGTAACGATAATCTCCCCGGCTGTCAGCAAGGGCATTTCACCTCGATCACCTGTGTTAATTTAAGCAGCCACCCTGGGAAGTAAGCTGGGCGGAGAAAGTTCTTCCTGTTAGGAGCCCATGTGGCTGAGGGGGGGGGGGGGGCCTTTTGCAAGGTCATAGACAGGTTCCCTGTGAGCTGGAGAGCCAGCTCAGTCCCTAACTCCAAGGTCAGCTGCCTGCCGCGCTGCTCGAAAATGGCCAAAAATTCTCTCAGGGAACCTTCCCCAAGATCCCGACTAGTAATTGACCTCTGGACCTTGTTTCCTCACAGATGGTCTCCTGACCTGTGAAACAACACACCTCGGCAGTGCTCACTCATGACGAAGGCTCGTTTGAAGCCCGTGGCCTACACTACCTCATCACGATGCCAACAAG